CAAACTTTTATATTTTTACTAACCTCTCTGGTCAGCTTATGGGAAAATTTTGTGGCTTGATAAAGATTATTTGTAAGTAATAGGGTTGATAAATAGTGAAACAAGTAATATTAGGGTTTTTTTGTTTAAAGAAAATTAAGTCTAATCACAAGAATAAATCATCTTTAAAGTCACCCTTTCATCTTGTGCTATGATATTTTTGTCATGATTTATCAACAGATGAAGAACATAGCCATAGTTAGATTAGGTTTCGCTAATTAGGTATATAATCAGAAGACAAATTAACTTGGGAATTACTCCTCCTGTTTCACATTAAATTATCTAACCACAGTTAATCAGAGAGAGAGAAAAATTGGCCTCAAAGAAATGAAAATATACTAGATCACAAGGTTAATTATATATATATATATAGCACATTTAAACTTTGATTAGAGAATGAAAACTCCAAAATTTCTTTTAATTGACTAGAAGTACAAGATTCTAGATAACTGTAGAAGCTATAGGAGTAATTCATTATGACGAAGAAAATATATGTGGCTAAATGTATAAGATTCTCTACTAATATATAGAATATAAAGTAATTGCATTATGAAGAAGATGGTGTGGTGGTTACACAACCAATTAGATTAAAAGCCTATAAATATGTTATACTTGTATAATGGGGTAACCTTTGGGAAGTTTGAGTATTCTTTTGGTAAATTTATATATATATTGTTGGAATGCTTATGTTTTATGAAGCTATGTTAAAAAGTTTAATGTGCATGATTTCTATTGTGTTTTAGTACAGTAAGTAGGGTGGACGGCTTTGAACTTACGACTTTCTAGTCCACATAGGTGTTTTAATCCGTTGAACTATGCTCAGGTTAGCTTGTTCATATTGTTCAACATTGTTTATTTTTATTTTTATTTTCTTTTTCTTTCTGCCCAATAAAATACTTGAAAAGTTGAAATATTTACTATCCTATGGTTAATAGGCTCTTTGCATTGAAAAGAAAAACAAATTTCATTCCAAAAAATTGAGAACAATTTTGCTACCCAACTTTCCAAATAGTTTCCCTCATAATTATTGTGAAAAATATCGTGTATTAAATTTTATTTAGGTCCTTCATCTTACTAAAATGAAGGTAAGGATGAAACATATTTGTTACCTCTTTAGGAGTACGTGGAAAACACACAAAAAGGAGACTAAACAAAAACAATTCAATTTAGCGAAATGTTAGATACATCATATAATTACGAAAGGGGAAGAATTTATAAAACTAAGAGGAGACTTAGACTTTAATATCTTTCCAAAGTTGAGTATAAGATCTGGATCTATCCATAAAGGAAAGTCAACTCTGATAACCAGTAGGAAACAATCAAAATCTTTTAAGAGTAATTTCTAGATGTATATCATTTAGGAGTATATTTTTATCAACTCACAACTTTAGTTTATTTTTTTTACTTCCTTCTAAGCCATCAGAAGATCTCATGTTCAATTAAAAACTCGATCTTAAAAGAATTATTATTATTTGTTTTTTATTATTACTACTACTACTAGTACAATTTTTGAAAATGATAAATCAAAGTAGGGTATAGCTAGAAGTGAGCAATCCCAATAAGCTACTACTCTATTTCTCTCTCTTGCCTTTTTCCCCTAAAGAAGCAACAAAAACTACATACTCTCTCATATATCAACACACAAGAGTACTTTTTTCTTTCTCTATCTCTTGATTGGAAGTTTTGAATAGTATTTTTTTACCCTTTCACTTGCTTCTTTGGTTTTGAATTCAATGTCTGAATTTACTTCAAGTACCAAAACGAAAAAGTACTTTCATACAGCTCATTTAAACTTACAAAAACATTAATAACAAAATAGAGAAAAATATCACAATCATGCATAGGTTTGGCTATGTTAGACGAATAGTCCAAGTTCATGAGCAATAGAGCGAGTTGAAAAAGCTTCGGTTTGTGTACCTCATGTCTGAGCGAGTTCCAAATGACTCTTGAGAATAGTACTTTTTAAGTGAGAAATTTAAAACCCTTTTAGAAGAAGTATTATTAGAAAAACAATTTTTAATGTTTTTAAGCAATCTTATACTTGACTATATACAAAACTCACCCTAAATTTTCCTTTATAAAAGTTAGCTTTCTCACTCAAGGAGGGGAAAAAACTATTGAACGAGACTGTCCCTAATAACTATTGGATACAAATTCAAAATTTGTATATCCTTAACAACTATTTGACATAAATTCAAAACCACATTTTGTAGTTTTAAAAGTGTAAAACTACGGGTTACATTGTGATGGCTTCCTCTAATAATTTTTCCAAAAAGTGAATTAACTCTAAATCATAGTTTCGTAAAGAACTCTCTTGGATAAGGTTTTATATATATGCACTTTTAGCAGCTTTTATGGATGGATGACATAAGTTACTGTTTTGTCCAAGAAATATACATTTTCTTTTATTTTTGTTGTTGTTTTCTGGTTTTTAACATACCCCACTTGGACTGAAATGGCATGTGAAGTAAGTGAGAAGGGGTGCTTCCACAACAACAAAGTGCATGGCTCCATAGCCAATTCTCTTAGTTTGACACCACCCCATCACGTGACAATCACATGCACAAGTTTCCTAAAGGGCACAGCCTTCCATTATCTTATCGCAACACATTCATTTTGGCTCTTACTGCTCTCTCCTCTTTCATTATTGCTCCCCAGATATACTTTGTTTCCCAAACAGATGACAAAAACAACTTCCCATTTTCCCCATGTGTGTTTTCACATTTATTTTCTCAGACCTAAAAATCTCTTGCTCCCCCCTCTTTATCTGGTTTTTTTAAGATTCATTTGTGTATGTTAGATTCAGAGTAGTGTTTTTATGTACAACATGTTTTTTTAAATGTTTTTTTTTTCCAAAGTTTGGGAGGAAGGATTTTTATAATCTAACCAAACACTAGGAACATACTCATTAGTTGTTTATTATGTGCTAACCTACTTTCGATCTCAATCTTTTTTTTTTTTTGTTACATATATAGGATTCTGAATGGTCTTGTTCTGATATAAGCAACAAGATCTTATGTTAGACAATGAATTCTCTTATAAAGGGAGAAGTGAATTTTTTGAGATACATATGATGTCGGCTCTAAAATGGGACACTTTCAAATATTTCAAAAATATTTAGTAAAATTAATAAAATAACAATTATGAAGTCCAATTTTAAAATGACAACTTTACTCAAATGATATACATGTATTATATATCTGTAATATATCTAACTACTAATATATTTATATGATATATAATATGATACATTACTGATAAGAGTGTTTGATATACATACAATATGTATTTGATATACAACTAATATACTATTGTATGAGTGTCTTACTAGTGAAAATTTTTATTTATATTCTAAAACTTAAAAAAATAGGTGAGATATTTTGAAATAATGTTTTATTATCCACTGCAATTTTCGTAATGATTGTGACAAAAGTAGAGCAGCTTCTTGTGTCGTAGAAACAAAACAAAATTAACCCATTTGTTTGTTTGTGTGACAGATCAACAGTTGAAGGAGTGGTGAAGAAATTTGGGGGCTTAGCAGAGAGCATAGCAGAGATTTTAGGGCAAAGTTTGGGCATGAAATCGAGTTACTTCGAAGAAAGCTGCAAGAGAGGAAGGAGCAGCTTTCGGCTGAACAGATACCCACCTTGTCCCTTCGCCTCCAAAGTCTATGGCCTCGTTCCTCACACAGACACCGATTTTCTCACCATTCTTTATCAACCTCCTCAAATCAACGCTCTTCACCTCATGAAAGATGGCAACTGGCTTGCCGTCAAGCCTAACCCACAAGCCTTGCTTGTCAATATCGGCGACTTACTTCAGGTACTCCCATCCTGCCCCCATTTTTCAGTTTCCTCCAGTTTTAACTACGTTCTTGAACTTTTGATTATGATTCTAAATGGGTTCTTAGTGACCACATGTTGATTGGGCTAATGATGTTAAGGATTTCATGTTAAAAAGATAAAAAGGATATGACAAATCTAACAAGGACTCACAATAAGTTTTGAGATGGAATCTCATAGTATCAAAGTCCGAAAGCTCGAACGAGCATTCGGTTAAAAAATGGGATCCGACTAGTCAAAAGAGCTACGATCTTGAATATAAGTGGATGTTAAGGATCCTACGTTCAAAAGAGAGGGGATCTAACATAGGTTTATAATAGACATAGACTATTCCTCTAATGGAGATTCCAAAATGTTCAAATAGTACAATCAGTCTAAAAATGAGATTTAACCAAGATCGATCAGTCAAAAGAGTCACAATTTTCATTGTCAATTGGTTTTGAAATGGAACTCATGAATATGGATAGTGGACTACTCCTCCCATTAACAATTTATAATAAGTCATGATTTTGTTTGATATGAAAAGAACGATAAAAAAGAATAGGCTCTGGGCAAGCTATAAAAACATTTTGATTTAAAGAATATCTTCGACATAATTAAGTATCTCTTGAAATTTTTGGCCCACCCGCCAATATTTTATTTAGTTGGTGTACTCTTTTATGTTATGTTAGGTTAAATCATTTAGTTTGTTAGTCAAATTAACATGTCATGTTAGTGCATTTAAATAACGATATAATAATTTTACTAGAATCGAAATTGAAAAATTTAGACACATGAAATTTAATGATTAAATAGATACAATAATTAAGGTTCATGGATTAAATTTATTATTTAATTTATTTTTACAAGTATATTAAGCGTATATTTAAAGAATTAAAGATATTATAACCTATTAAATTTTATTTTTCCAGACTTAAGTAGTTTTTTAAACTTGATATCAAATTAAGAGATTCTCATATTTAAACTTTAAAATGTTATTTCTATGGTGAAACCTAACATAGTTCAAATAGTTAAGACATCTATCTTTGACCATGATAGAGTTCAAACTCCCATCTCCACAATGTTGTACTAAAAATTCTAAAAAATAATTAAGCTTCTCTCATGAACAACTTTGTTGGTTATATAATCTCTTTTTTTCGAACACTTTTTTTTTTTTTTTTGAAGTCTTAACCAAACTTTAAAAACTAGAAAAGTAATTTTTAAAAATTATTTTTTTAAAAAGAAGTAAGATTTCAAAAGTATTTTAAAAATATGAAAAATAAAACATACAGAAGATGTTAGAAAAGAAGATCAACGTTTTAAAGCCAAAAAAGGAAAAAAAACAAAAAACAAAATTGCTATCCATTAATACCAAGACTTTTTTCTAATTTTGTTTACAATTTCAGTGACAAACAAAAAAAAAAATATTATCAAAAAAAATGAAAACAAAAATCTTAGTCCTTTGGTAACAATTCAATTTTAGTTTTTATTTTAAAAATTACTCTAGTTAATTAACCCTTTCCTTTTTTAATTTTCAAATTCTTAAAAACAATTTAAAAATTTTATTCAAATTTCAAACATTAAATAAAGTTTATTGAAAACTATATATTTTAGGATTTTTAAAATTTGGCTAGGCTTTTAAAAACATTCTTCAAAATAGATTAAAAGAACAAAAAGGAAAATTAATTAGTAACCAAAATATACAATCTATAAAAACATAAGACAAAAACAAAACTTTTAAGGATATATAATGAAATATCAATTGAGCCCTAGACTTATATCATGCTGGGATGTTTAAAAAAGTGAGAGAACAGTTACATAAACTTGAAAAAAATTTGATACTATACTTCACATATAGATTTCAAAGAACTTTATCTCCCTCGAGAATTAGCCAAATTGTATGTTAATAAAGGGTAGAAAAAGCTATGGTCTCCTTTGATAATGATTATATTTTTAGTTTTTTGGCTTAAAAAGTTCTTCATATGTTTATTGTTCATTAGGATCTCATGGAACTTAACAAAGTTTATAAGATGCCTAAGCTAGCTTTTTTTTTTTTTTCGCTAGTCAATTGATTTGAGATAAAGAATCTTGATATGGTATATGAGGAGAGATCCTATATTGTCATTTTCCCTTCTTTAATATTGATTTTGTCTTTCACAAGGGGTGAGTGTTAACATATATCTATGATTAAATTTACTTTAACCCATAAGCTTAAGCTTCTTGACTCATTGGTGATGAAATCTGATTAAGATTGGTGAGTCCAAAAGAACCATCATCTTAAGGGGTATATGTTACAAATCCTACACCAAAAATATCAAAGAGCCTAACAAAAGATATACATGGGTAGATATTTATCCCTTTTTTTTTAGAATTGGAAGTCAGAACTTTGCTCCTCTATACTAGGGACACTGTGCCCGTCCTAAGGCCCTGACCCGAGAGACAATCAAAGATTTTTGGTATTAAGTTCACCAGAAGGTTTGAACTTCAGACCTCTGAGTCAATATAAACCAGATGTTAAAGGATCTCACATTGAAAAAAAAACCTTACAATGATTTATAATAAACATGGGGTACTTCTCTCGTCGCCATTTGATTTTGAAATGGAATCCCATGAATATTGATATCATATACTCCAAGTCCTTATCAATCGGACTGCCCCTTGAGGACGATATTAAAAACACGGATAACAAAACAACAAACGGGATGTATATAATGAAAAAACTTAAATATCACCGACCTTTATGAAGAGAGAGTTCATGTTTTGCTGAAAAGTGGAGTGACAAAAATCTGACATATGCAGGTTGTGAGCAACGATGTGTTCAAGAGCCTGAAGCACAGAGTGATAGCTTCAGAAGCAGTTGAAAGATTTTCGTTTGCATATTTCTACTGCCCATCTGATGATGTGATGATTGAGAGCTGCACGAAACCAAGCATCTACAGGCAGTTCAGCTACAAAGAGTATAGACAACAAATAGAGAAAGATGTAGAGAAAACAGGCGACAAAGTAGGCCTTCCAAGGTTTCTCTTGCACAACATCATGCATGTTTCTAATCAATATCTGATGTCCACTAATTCTAGGGACTCCTAGCTAGGCTTTATGAGACAAAATCAAGTAAGTAGGAGGCTTTATTTGGGTGTGGTTTGTGTATTTTTAGACGTTTTCGTAATTCGTTATAGAATATATAAGTACTTAAAATCACAATTTCATACCCTTTTTAAACAAAAACAATGTCGGGTGTTTTAATTTATAGACACTTGAAAAAAACACACACTTCATACTCGTTGTAGTTTCACTTTGGTAATATATAGTTGGGTTATTATACTTCTATCCACTATCCACTAAAACATGTAATGATTTAATCCACAACATTAACTTCTATCTTTGAGTAATAAAAAAAAAAAAAACTTCTATCTTTGATTTTTGACCATGGCAAGTTGTTGACTTTATTCACACATATTGCTGATATATTCTATGTTATAGGTTGTTTTCCTATCCAAATCTTTAATACAAATTTGAACTTAAAAAGAACTTTATTCTACATATATTGGTGAGAGTAAAAAGACTATATCATTAAGAGAAATAAAAGCAGGAGGATGAAAATATTATAGGAACTGAAGTACAAGAACATGATAAGGATCCAACGTAGAAAATTGGACCTTACAAAAATTTATAATAGATTTAAGTTATTCCCTCTCATAGCCAATTGGTTTTGAGATGAAACTCATGAATATTGATATGGTATTAGAGTCCAAAATGCGCAAAGGAGAATCTGGTCAAAAAATGAGATCCAACTAAGATCAGTGAATTAAAAAAACAACGATCTTGAAGGGACATGTTAAAGATCTGACATAGAAAAAAGAGCTTACAAATATTTATAATAGATATAGATTACTCCTCTCATAGCCCATTAATTTTGAGATCATTAAATCGTATGAATATTGATAGAACAAATATAATATATTTTAAACCTAATCTAACAGGGTTGTTGTACTAAAAGAACACCTAATTCAATATATATTTTTTCTTTTGAAATGATAAAAATTTTGGACTTTATTTCTAGAAGACTGTGATAATAGTGTAGTCTTGTTTCAAGCTTTTCATGTTAATTTGGAAAAAAGAAAACATTATAGCCAGAGACAATATTAAAAGCATCTTGATTTGAATTTTAATAAATCATTACATTGTCTAAATCATAGACTTATCCTAAAACCTAATTAAACATAAGAAAATAAAGGATTATAAGTATACAATCATGGGTATTGAAGTTGGATAATCCATCATTTTCAAAAGCTAAAATGGCTTTTATGGGAGGGTATAGAGTGGAGGTTCTTAGTTGGGTTTTGGATAATGCATCATTTTCAAAAGCTAATACAAGACTTGCCATCTGCCAATTAGTGAGAGGGATTAAGCCACAATGCATGAACTTGAATTAATTAGGATGATTAATTGCTTACTGATAAAGTGATGAAATGACAGCACTGACACTGTCAATGGTGATGAATGCTTTGAGGGGGAAATAATAATAATAATAAATAAAGCTCACTATTGTTCCCTCTCTTTAGAATATAAATTAGTCATAAATTAGTTTCTAAAAATTTAACTATCTTTTTCTAAATATATAGATATATATTTTCTCTCTTCCCTTCTTTTCTTTTTTTCTTTTCTTTTCTTTTTCATACCTATCAAAAATATAATATAGTATATGGTGGTCAATCCGATATTTATGTGTTGATGAATCAGGTAAATATTATTCATTAGATGTCTATGAAAAGATAATATCTACAATTTATCTATAAATTTGTATCTAATTAAAAAAAAGGAGAAATTTCATTTTTAAACTAACATTTCTTCAATTTAATTAAGTTGAATTCTAAAACTTGAATAGATGAAAAAAATTAATATCTCTGTGTTGAGTGATAAATTTGAACTAATCGTAAATTGTTGTGTTATTATTTTAAATAAGTGACAAATCCACACATGGTTAAATTTAATATTAATTATAAATTTACACGTGTCTCGAAATTAAATAAAAAAACATAAAATGGGTGAATTAAATAATGTCATGTGTTTTTTCTTATAATCATCTAATTAATCAAATCGGTGGGTAGCAATTGGGCTCAAAGCCCATATGAGCTCAAATCCACGTAAAGAAATTGGGCCCCGCAATCACCTAGGGTCAAGCCTAGTCCAAGTGTTGGATTTAAAGTCAACCAAGTCCAAGCTCGAATAAAACTCACAAAAACTTTATGGAGGAGGTCACCTCTCATTTGGCCATCTAAAACCATCTAGAATTATTCAGAAGTATCCAGAATCACTTAGTAAAAGACAAGAACACTCTTTGAATACTTGAAGAATCCAAAAGCTACAAAACTTTGAGAATTTGATCGTCTCTTCATAAGTTAAAAGTCGAAGATTGAATCCTCCCAATCCGAGAACAAACTTGTCAACCCCCGAATCAAATTTTATACATGAGAGAAATCATAAAGAGGATTATATATCAAATACAGAATCAAGCTCATTGTTAAGAGTCTCTCTTCAAAATTCCTTGTGAAACACTTTTTAAAATCTAATTAGAAGATTACCTATGAAGAAAGGAATAAATCATATCAGAGGTTGTTTGGAATTTTGAATTCGAAAGGAATAGAGCGCAAGTGTAAACCCGTCACGAGTAATAAGTGGAATGAATATTTCGAGTACCGATCCTCAGGAACTAATATAATCTTTTTGATAAAAATGATAATGATCAAAGAGTTGTAATTGGTTTAAGGTGACAAATAACACAAGTGATGTTGGCTTGGTTCTTTTAAAACTTAATGCAATAAAACTCAGCCCTAGCTACTTCAAATAATTAGCTAGTAAAATGTCGGGATTAGCTCGAGGCGCCCAAGCGCCTCTCTTGCGCATCTCTTGTTGTTTAATGATAATGTTTCTTAATCCGGTTATATCTAAGTGATCTTGAAGTTCTAAGTTCTTCCTAATATATCTATTAGAAAATCCATTAGTTTTGGCTTAAAAATAATCACAACCTTGGGTCAAGGTTCTATATCTAGGCTACTTGAATGTAACCTTTATATCTAAAGCCTCATCTCCTCGGTTTAATCCCTTAAGTTGTAAAAACTTGTCAACCTTCTCAGTATTAACTATGTTCAAGTATTAATTGGCCAAATTAAAACTTAAACTTTATGTAAAACAACTTCGTTGATGAAAGAGTGAGAAAACACCATTTACCCTTGCTCCCATTTTAAAAACTTACTAATCATCAATGACTGAGCTATGGAAAACAAATTTAGCTCATACTTTTAAAGGAAAAATAGAATGTAAAGGTTTTGCAAAAGAAAGACATGATTTAAGATCTAAAGATTAAGAACAAGCTGTATATGAAAAGTTTGCAATTCGAATAAACTTTACCCCTTCTCTCTCGAGCTTAGAGGAGCAAAAACTCATTCTATTCCACAATAATGTGAGATTACAAGATTCTCTTAACATAGGAACGAAAATAAGAAGAAGAACAATAATGTTGGAATTAGGGATAATGTTGATGGGGCGGGGCGAGGACGGGGAAAGCTTCCTCGTCCCCATCCCCACCCTCCATTTAATTCCTCATCCCCGTGAAATTCCTCGCAAAATTTTGCGGGAATCGGGCTGGCGATTCGCCATGGGGAATTCACGGAGATCGGGTTCCCCGTGAGGATTTTTTCCCGATTTATTCTTTTACTTTTAAAATTATTTCTCAATTAAAAATTTTTCCTAAGGAAATTTTTAATTAATTAAATAATTTTCAACGATAAAAATTTATTTACATGGTCTAGTCCTCCTCTATATATTTGGTGGGTAGAGAAGAATATGGTTTTATTAGTATATGTTAGTATAGAAAGAATAATAAGATTATTTTAGTGTATATATGTATTAAAAAAAATATGAGGTAGGACAGGGAACGAGAAACAGGGACGGGGAATGCATTCCTCATCCCCGTCCCCATTTAGGTGATGGGGAAAAAACTTTCCCCATCCTCACTGTGGGAAATTTAAATGGGGATTCCCGGTCTCATTTAGGCCGGTCCACGTGGGGATGGGGTCCCGTAGGGAAAATGAACATCTCTGGCTAGAATTTTATAAATTTGAGTTTCCTAAAGTGCAAGGAGTAAAATCAAGGTGGGAAATTTCTTACAAATAAGAAAAAGAGTTAAGAATTTAAGCTTAGGTAAAAAAATAAAAAATTGAAGAACAGTGCAATCCTAAATTATGCTGGAAAATAACTCTAAAAAGCTTGTAAAGTGATTAACAACGGTAGAAAGCTTAATAAATTGTGTTGAGTGAATATTAAATTTATAGGCAGCATGCAGTTGGTTAGGTTGGTAGAAAACTTTCTCCACCATTGACTTCCAACCCCTTTTAACTGACCCATTCTATTTCAAACATACTCTTCTACACTTGGTTGACACGTGTGGAGATAGAAAACTCGTCAAAATACTTATGAACTTGCATTTCATTAAAGGTAAAAACGGAAGAAAATAACCCCGAGGTAAGCTGATAAGCATTGAATTAAAAGGCTAAAATGTGTTATGTTTTCATGCTTATTTAAGGTCCATTAAGGTTGAAAACATATGTTCATGCATATAATTTAGTGAGAATGTGTCTATTTTGTGTTTAAAAACTCGGACACTTAGACTTAGGTAAATGCAGGTAAAATGTTGCCAATATGTTTATTTTGTAGGGGAAAACAAGGATTGTTGATCAATTGTGTCGGACGGATAACACTCCCAAAACCTCAACTTATTGACCAAATGCACCAGCCACATTTTGTTGAGATTTCTTGCTGCACCTAAATGCACCAAGTGTATTTCTTGCCCAAATCGAGAAAAATTGTGTTTTAACTTATTTTGACCAAGTATTCCGTGAAAATCAAATGCCCACCCCATTCTTCCTAAGATCACGCAAGAAGAAGTCAAAATAAGTTGGTCCAAGATTTTTCTAACCTCCCAAACTTATCTCCAACATAAAGGCAACCTACAAGCTTATTAATACAAACCACCAAGATCATTTGCATCATTCTCGAGCTTTTAAGCTTTCTTCCTAATTTTTTGTTATCTTGATTTATTTTTCCAGAGTTTTGTTTATTTATTAGTTACTTTTGTAATTGTTCATTGTTTCCTTTAAATCAAATTGATTTGTTTATTTCTAATCTTGTACTTTTTT